ATAACAAAATACCATAGACAGGGTGGTTTAAACAAAAGACATTTATTTTTCACAGTTCTTATTCAAATTACAAGGTGGTATGGGAAGTGTTTTCCCTTTCCCAGATATCTTGACAGCAGGCTTGCTGGGTACTATGGACTGAATGGTGTCCTTCTAATTTCCATATATTGAAGCCCTTACCCCAAGTGTGACTGCATTTAGAGGTGAGATCTTGGCGAAATAATTACCTTTAGATGATGTCATGAGGGTGAGGTTAAGGGCTTAAACATATGGAATTTGGAAGGACACCATTCAGTCCATAGTACCCAGCAAGCCTGCTGTCAAGATATCTTGCAAAGAAGGGGACCAGCAGTTAGTATAATGGCTATGTCTCTGGACTCCCATGTAGCCAATTGTGGTTCGAGTTCCGGACTGAGTGGCTTGAACTCACGCCGGGCACGTGGGCATGCGGGCCCAAGATCCCCAGAGGAGAATGGAGGCGAAAGGATTGTGGCGTGAGGGGGTGATTTCTCGCTTTCTGTCTCTGTCTCTCTCTGTCTGTCTGGCGAGCGCACGCGCCCTATAGCAAAAAAAACCTCTCTCAAAAAAAAAATAAAAAAGATATCTTGCGAAGGGAAAACACTTCCCATACCACCTTGTAATTTGTATCAGACCTCTGTGAAAATTAATAATTCAACAGATACCTCTTTACCCACTTGTCTGAGGTATAAATCTGAGAGGCACAAATTAGTTATCATCCCTAGTAGCCAGTCACCAAATTCTATGTTATCTTCTATTTCTCATCTTTGTCCCTTCTTCATTTCCTATACTACCCTAGTTTATCTCCATCATTGTTTCTTACCTGGTATATTTTATTAGTCTCCTGACTGGTCTTCCTTTCAGTCAGTTCCCCCACATTCTAGCCAAAGCATCCCTTTTCTTTTCTTTCTTTTTTTTAATGGCTCTAGGCAAAATGATTAAGGTTTATTTTTTCTATAGTAATTTTAAATTATCTATCATTCAGCATAATAAGATACCATTTCAATGGTGTGGTCATAAAGGCTTTTATTTTGCTAAAGACCATTTCTTGACTGAATGACTTCAATAGAGTCTAAATCAAACAATCCAGTTGTCCCAGTTCTAACTCCATTCTGAGACCAACTATCTATCACTCAATTTCTTTTAAAGTGTAAATCCTTTTATTTTTTTAAGGTTTTTGCTATAGGGCTTGTGGGCTGGGAGATAGATAGAGATCATGAAAGAGAAAGTTAGAAATCACCCCCTGTGGGATGGATGGCCACACTACAATCCTTTCTCCTGCATTCTCTTGAGATTTCTGGCATGCATGTGCACCTGGTGTGAATTTCAACTTAACAGGTCTGAAACTTGACCTGCCGTTGACCATGTGGGAGTCCAGCAATGTGGGAGCCCAGCACCTTAACCACTATGCCACTTTTTGGCCCCTGAAGTGTAAATCTTGTCACAGTCTCCCCAGGCTAAAGCCTTCTGATGCTTATTTTATCTCTAGGCCCTTGTTCTTGCTGGTTCCTCACTTCGAAACATTCTTTGCTTACTCTTCACCTTGCTACCTCTTTTTTATTCTTAAGGTCTCAGATCAGAGATCACTTGTTTCAGAAAGTATTAACTTAATCATTATGTGCTCTTCTATGTCCCCAGAGCACCATGTACTGCCTTTAACTTTCTTATAATCCTGTTTTCCATGTTATACTGGAATTCCTTGAACTGTGATCCTTGTGAAGGCAGGGATTTAGGATTTTGCATTTTTATATCCTAAACATCCAGTACAGTAATTGACTCAAAGATACTCTGAAAAATGTTGAAAATTTGGTAAAAATGATATTACTTTGAGATCTTAAGAAAAATCAAGGAAGATTATATGGCCCATTGGGGGTTAAATCTTAATTACATGTCCTCCTAAAATATCATCTTTTATTCAGGCCTTAAGAGTCCAATTATGCTTTTACAGCTATCATTTTAATGGGTAATATGTCCTGTTGTGCTGTGTAGCTAGGGTAAAGACCTTCTTTAAATTTATTGTTTTCTCTTATAGTTTGACTTGAGAGAAACAGTTGTATGTGGGAGGAGACAGAGAGAATAGACTGTAAATAATGTGATGTTGGCAGTACTGAACTTGGATATACATAGATAGAAATAAATAAGATGTTGCTTATAAATATAGTAAGTTTTATATTTTTTATTCTACAGTTATTTGTTTCATTACATCTGCCAAGACAGGATTGTATACCTTTGTATCACTGATGATGTAAGTAACTTGAAGCTATATTTCTCTTTAACAATGTATAATGTTTATATAGTCAGTTCTTAATTATCTATACCTATGGTGGATAAAGATGATACAAATTTTTAAAAAGAATTATTTAATTTTTTTTATCATTATTTTTTAATTTGCTATAGGATACTTGCACTTACCAAAGAGAGAAAGTGAGAAAGCAAGCTGCCAGGTCCAGCACTCGAACCTCAGCTCCCCATGTGGGAGTTCAGTGCCCTAACCACCATGCCACTTACTATCCCCAATGCAAAATTTTTATGGTTGGACTTTTTTTTATATTTTCTGTTTGTCATGTAGAATTGCAAATGAAAAGAAAACTTGATAACTGCAAATCAGCTCATTTTTTGAAGGGTTTTAGCTTTAACCTCTTTTTTTTTTCTTTTTTTTTGAGAGATTTTCACTGTAGGGCGCGTGCGCTCGCCAGACAGACAGAGAGAGACATAGAGACAGAAAGCGAGAAATCACCCCCTGGGGGGATGGTCACGCCGCAATCCCTTCTCCTCCATTCTCCTCTCGGGATCTTGGGCACGCACGCACACGCGCCCGGCGTGAGTTTTAAGCCACCGGGTCCGGGACACAAACCGCGGTCGACTACGTGGGAGTCCAGCGACATAGCCATTACACTAACTGCTGGTTCCCTAGCTTTAACCTCTTGTGACTTCTATGTTTATCCTATTTTATAGTGAGAATTAGTGTTCATAATTATGATTCTTTTGCATCAAAGCCTCTTAAAAATGTTTAACTAGAATATTGAATTAAATAGAATATTTCATTTTTCCAGCCATTCATTAATGAATTTTTTAATGCACATGGGCTTTGGAAAAACAAAATCACAATACATTATGATCAGCTATGTAAACCTGTAATCTTCATTGGTTAGGTTGTGTTTTTGAGTATTTGGAGGCTCTAGACCCAAAATGATTAATAAATGTCATCAAGGTCCTTTCTCTCCTCTGCTCTCATCACTGTTATCTTTTTTCCATACAGGCTCTCCTTATTGTTGCAAGGAATTATATGTTTGTTTATTTATGTCCCGAGAAGAGGAGCTATGCATTACTGAGTCTCTTATTATAGTAATAAGGAAACTTTCTCTGCACACCTCTGCCCCCAACCCACTTCGGAAATGGACTTTCTTTGATGTCTTAGTGCCTTCATGTTTATTTCTAAACTGCTCCTTGACAAAAGGCATGGAATTGGCATGATATTCATACTCAGGATTTTCTTAAATTTTATTATGTCATACACCCCTTTATCATCCTTGGACCCCTCTCAGAATATTTGTAAATATAAAAAATAAAACAAAATAAAACTAGTCACGGAATATTGAAATATTTATGTACAGAATATTCAAAATATTATAGGGGGCTAGCAGGTGGCATGGTGGTTAATGTGCTGGATTCCCACATAACTGACCGTTGTTCAAGTCCTGGACTCAACAGCTTGAAAATCACACCAGGCACACGTGCGTGTGTGTGTGTGTGTGTGTGTGTGTGTGTCCAGAATCCCAATATGAAAATGAAAGAGAAGAAATTGTGGTATGGCCATCCCCACTAGGGGGTGATTTCTTACCAAGAGGAGAATAAAGGAGAAGGAATTGTGGCATGGCCATCTTGACTAGGAGGTGATTTCTCACTTCCCCTTTCTCTGTCTGCAGCAAGTGTATGTACTCTATATGGCAAAAGCCAAAAAAAAAAAGTATTTTCTAATTATTGATACAGTAATGTATATTTTTTGTTTGTTTTTGAAAGGGTATGAACACTTGCCAGAGAGGGGAGAAAGAAAGTGAGGAAGCACTCCTCAGTGAGGATGACCATGCCACAATCCCTTCTCTCCCATTCTTCTGTCAGGATTTTGGGCATGCACGCACACATACACATATGCCCGGTTTGTTTTTCAGTCCTCCAGGCCTGGGGCTTGAACCCCATAGTCAGCCATGTGGAATCCAGCCACCTTAACCATCACACCACCTGACTGACCTATATATGCTTCTTTATGAACTTACTAACAAGATCTAGTTAAGAGTCTAATGATTTGGAGCCAGCAAATGGCATGGTGGTTAAGGTGCTAGACTCACAAATGGCTAACCGTAGTTTGAGGTTTGAGTCTCAGACTTTGTGACTCGCTTTCTCACTTTCCCTCTCCTTCATCCTGTTTCTCTCTGGTGAACACACATGTCCAAAGGCAAATAAAAAATAATTTTTAAAAAGTATAATGATTGATAATTTTGAAATGGTGATGAGTATAAATGGTATTTTGATTTAGCTATAACTATGATGATATATAAAAAAGATTTCTATTGGTCACAAAGGTACAGGTACTTTTTAATACTAATTTTTAAAAATTATTTTATTTAACTTTATTCATTCATTTATTTATTTCAATTTGACCAGAGAGGGATAGAGTGACAGTGAGAGAGAGAGAGAGAGAAAGCAAGCCACCAGGTCTAGGACTCGAACCACAGTCGCCCATGTGGGAGTCCAGCACCCTTAACCACCAAGCCACCTGCCGTCCCTAATACTAATATGGTTTGTTATGTACATTCACAACTGAAATTTAGGTTAAATATTTATGAAAATAGCAATAATTATTTTTCTATTGAAGTAAGAGAGCTACTTGAATTTGACCATTGCCCTCAGTTTAGGAACCCTTGGCTTAAACTAAGCATTTTAGGTGAAAAGGAAATGATGGTCAACCATAGTGATCATAACAATGATTTTTATTCCCAGTATTTCCTAAAATTAGAATAAAAAAAATCCAACTGTATCTGAAATGACTGATAGGAAAGAGCTTGGAGTAGATGAAAAACATGGAATCTGAGATGGTCAGAGTTTAGCTTCATATTTCTTGAGTTAAAATTTGATACACACAGAAACACACATAAGCATGCTTACTTTTTGACTGGCTGGGACTAGATAAGGGTATGTCACTTGATCTTTTCAAATGTATCAGCACTATGGAAAGAAATCAATTCAAAGTTCATGTCAATAGCATTATTTTTGTCATGTGAAGACTATATCATTATTGATTTGTTGAAAATCTTGTGTTGGGCTTTTTAATAGATTCTATGAAAGATATGGAGAAAATAAAACCCGATTCCTAACCTCAAGAAGTTGATAACCAGGTCAGCCCTGTAGCCTCATTAAGGGAGCCAGATCTCATGTCCTACTGTGGGTTCAAACCCAGCCCTGGTGGCTTGAAAAACACACTGGTCATGTGTGAGTGCATGCCTCAAATCCTGATGGGATGATGAAACAGAAGAGATTGCAGTGTGACCATGCCCCTGTTATCTTCATTTGGCAATAGCTATACATATTTGGATTTAACTCTTTCATTCACTCCTTGTTTGACCTTTAGCAAGTTACTTACCTTTTCAGAGTCTGTTTTCTTATCTGTAAAATGGAATCAATGCTAGTATTTATGCACAGAGTCATTGCTCAGTAAATGTTATCTGTTTTATCATCCACATTATCTTTTTTTTAACTAAGTGTGAACTCTGTGTTGGTCTCTTCAGGATTTTGAACGTTCCCGAGCCTTTAATTTTCTGAATGAGATAAAGAAGAGGTTCCAGACTACTTATGGTTCAAGAGCACAGACAGCACTTCCATATGCCATGAATAGCGAGTTCTCAAGTGTCTTGGCTGCACAGCTGGTAAGATCTTTCTTGGGTAAGATATTTGATTCATATCATCTTCTGTATTATCTTGATGCACCATGAATATAGGGGTCCCTGGCCTGCAGTATACCTTTTCTGATTGTGTTATAGTAAGCCAAAATTATGAAACTTTCCTGATTAAAAAAATGCAAAGAGTTCATTTTAGGGTAGAAAGTTAATAATCAGTGATATTCTGTATTAGTAGTAGTCTGAATATCTCAAGATTAGAAAGAACATCAAAGATCATCTAGTTCAACTGTCTATCTAATGCTTAGATCTACTGAACACGCCAAAGGATCTTTTAATCAATACATAAACTTTCTACCTTTCCTTGAAGCAAATATAATTTTTGAACAGCTCATATTAATCTGTTCATTTGTATGCATCTCTAAATTTCAGCTCAGTGAAATTTTACATGTGTATGTATACCTATGAAGCACCACCAAAGTCAGAAGAAAGCATTTCCATTACCTTTAAAATTCCCTAACGAGGGACCAGCAGTTGGCGTAATGGCTATGTTGCTGGACTTCCATGTAGTCAACTGCGGTTTGAGTCCCGGACCTGGTGGCTTAAACTCATGCCGGATGCGTGTGCATGTGTGCCCAAGATCCTGAGAGGAGAAAGGATTGTGGCGTGGCCATGCCCCCTGGGGGGTGATTTCTCACTTTCTGTTTCTCTGTCTCTCTGTCTTTCTGGCAAAAACAAACAGAACAAAACACACAAAAAAAAAAAAAAAAAAAAAGAAAAGCACCTTAACGAGGGACTAGCAGATGGCATAACAGTTACATAGCTGGTTGCTTTCAGTCTTTCAGCTAGCATGAGTAAAGCTGCTGTGAACCTCCCATTTAAGTTTTTACATGGACATGTATTTTTATTTCCTTTTGTTAAATACCTAGGAATGGAATTGCTGGGTTGCTTGGTAAGTGATGTGTAATTAAAAAAATACTTTTTTTTCCAAAAGTGTTTGTACCTTCTTACATTATCACCAGCAATTCTAGTGTCTCTGCATCCTTGTCAACACTTGCTGTGTTCTTTTTAATTTTAGCCATTCTAGTAGTTGTGAAGTAGTATCTTATTGTGGTTTTAATTTGCATTGTTATGATGAGAAATGATGTTCAGTACCTTTAAAATGCTTAATTTTTATTCATGGGACTATTTGAGTACAAAGACATATATACTCTGGCTCTAATTTTATTGTGAATTAGAAAAAGACATATTGGGGACCAGCAGTTGGCATAATGGCTATGTCCCTGGACTCCATGTAGTCGACTGCGGTTTGAGTCCTAGACCTGGAGGAGAAGAGACTGTGTTGTGGCCATGCCCCCTGGGGGGTGATTTCTCGCTTTTAATCTCTCCCTTCTCATCTTTCTGGTGAGCGCATGTGCTCTGTAGCAAAAACCTCTCCAAAAAAATAAAGAAAGAAAAAGACATATTGCAATTGATATATATTTTTTACTTCTGTTCTTTATAATAGTATTTTTGAGAATTACACACACATACACACACACACACACACACACACACACACACACACACAGGGTCATA